TCCTTTTTTCCTTCGAATTTTTTTTCTTTTCTTTTTTTTTTTTTTTCTTTTGCAATCGCTCGGAAACCTGTTCGCACGAGCGGCAGCAACGGAATGTCCGAGTGCTGCTCGCCCTCATCTCGGGCCTATCGAGTCTGCGAGATCATTCTCTCTATACGACGGTCTTGCCTATAGTTTCACGCATTCTTCAGCATAGACACCAGTTTTATCAGTATCTTAAAAAATAGTATAAATGATTAAAAGCAAATAATTGGAAGCATTCGTAGAAATATTTCTTAGCAATATCAGCAATATTTATTGATTATAATATAGATTTTAATACGTCATTTTTCCAGATAAGCTGAGGAGGCAGTAATGTACAATGCTTGTTCAAAGTCAACAGTGATCCTCTTAGGATTAACATTTACATGAATGATCTACAAGCCAAGCAAGCTGCTTTCAGTTTCGACCAGACCGAACAACTTTTCTAACATTCTAGTTCGCGTGCATCGGAATGAGCGGAGAAGAAAAGAGGGAGATAGTAGAGAAGGGTAAGGGCTATTTATAGGAAATTTCGCCGGACGAGGATGTTGAAGGCTAATAACCTTGACCTTGTCCACAGCTTGTGGAACTGTGCGCGTTTGCGATCAGGAGACAGAGAAAGCGAGTGACACGAGAAGAGACATCGGTCAAAACCGACTTGGCCTGCTTTCTTGCATGTCTCAGCGAATGAGAACGAGCGTATCCAGGTAAGCGACGAGACGGACGAGGCTTGATGACTAAGGCGGCGGCGGTGGCGGCTCTGGGCGTCCTCGACGAAGATGGGCCCTCACGAGTGGCGAACGACCGCATTGTGACGTATCACGCATGGTGCATCGCTTAACAGGATCGCGATTCTATAAGAGAAAGAAGGATCGTCTAGTATATCGATGTATACAGGGTACTTTACAAGGTAACCGATAAATTTTTTTACAGTCTACGTGGCTCAGATTATTCTCCCTTTCTTTTTCTCTGCGCAAAAAATTTACAAGTATTGCATAAATTTAAGGACCAATATTTTCAATATTAACTATTTTATTAAATTAAGAGCTTGGTATTTAATTTTGTTCAATATCGAGTGGGTTTTATTTTACCTTTTTAACTTGACAAGGCGAGTTAAATATTTCTCATATACAAAAAAAAAAAAAGAATTTGTTGGCATAGCAAATTTTACGCTGTTGTAGCAAAACATGTAAGTTATTATATGGATAGCAAAGAGATTTGTTACGGATGCTGATTTTATTTGTTGCAAATAATAATTTGCTAAATCTGCAAATTATATCACTATTATAATAAATTGATCTTGCCATCAAAATTTGCATTGGCAGCGACAGTTTTGCTGCATTAACAAAATATATTTGTTAGAAATAAATTATTTTGTTGGTAGCAAAGTTTTGTCGCTATCACATCTAATGTGTAATAGCAACGACGATTTCGCTGCGATAGCGAAATTGTTTTTCCGTGTAGAAGATGGTGAAATAAACTTCATCATTTTGCGCATCTCGAGAACATGAATTTAAGTATTGCTTGTCTTGTCGGGAGTCAGTCGCGTTTAATTTCATTACAATTTATTTGCAACGAATTCCCGAGAACAAAATATATTTAAGCTCGGGAGACGGTTTCAAGGCGAAATATATACGCGTTCGTGTAATGTCAATATTGGTGTTTTTGCGACATGATAAGCCCGATCGTCTGTGTACATCTAGTATAACAAACTTGAAGAGCGGTTCGCCCAATTTCTTTAGTAATTGGATTATATTCATATAAACTTAAATTACGTTATCATTTATATAAATTCATTATTTCAGAGTTGGATGTTGAAAATTCTAGCAGAAAGTCGTTTTCTCAAAAATGAAATTTTACTCCTTCGGATTCACCGGGATCTCGTTAATAAGGATCAACTGATTGATCCGCGCGATCGATCGATCGCGTCGTGAAAAAAAAAATAATCGACGCTCCTCGCGACGCCGCGCATCGCTTTACTCGCACGGCAGAAAGAGCTCGTCAATGAGACGCGTGCACGAGTCGACGACCGCGAGAGCGAGAGCGGTACGGGGTGTCGCGGTGGTGGAGGGATGCTGTCCGCACTGAGTCGCGTCGCGTCGCGTTGCGTCGCGCCGCACCGCGTCGCGCGGAAAAAAGAGAGGAAATTGCGCGGGAGGAGGAGGGAAAATCCAGCCCGCCGACTCCTGACCTTCAGGAGGAGTAGGAGACGTGAGCGAGGTCGTTCTGCGATCGATCGATAAACGCGCTCTCGCGCTTCGCGACAAAGGTGCGAAGGAACTTCATGTGCGGAGAGAAAGAAAGAGAGAGGAAACAGCGGACGGAGGAAGAAAAAACTGGAAGTGGAAAGGAAGAGAGTGGAGAAAGATAGCGATGAGAAACAGGGGCGCATATAAAAGGCGGTATTGAGAAAGAAATCACTCTTATCGTTTGATAAATGCGCTTTCTTTTTGCGCATATAGTTGCTAATTAAAGGATAAATTATTTTTCATTATTTCCAACTAATATTTTCATTATTTCCAGTAAATTGAGATACACGTGATTAATCTCTTTCTATTAATATAAATTCGAAATAATATGAGAGACTGTTTTGCTCGACGTTGACTTGTCAAAATTAAAATACATTTTTTTTCAGGTAAAAAAAAAGTCCCCTGTAAGCACCCCTGTAGAGAAAGGACCGGAACAATCGATCCTTCAGCCTGTGGAAAGAGAGCGCGAGAATCGCTTCTTCCTCTTGCTCTCTTTATTTCTCCCCGTGTCTCTCTTTCCTGTCTCGCTTTCTCCCAACGGCTCATTGGTCTCAAGTAGCGGAATAGGAATTCCGGAACTTTAAGAATAACCGTGCGACGTGTAATAAATGTTTGACTCGAGTATGAATTGAAGTCAAAAGCTGAACGAAATCTGTTAAAGAGAAACTGTAAAACTTGTGTCAGGAATTCAGGTAAGAAAATCTGATGCATTTTTGCGAATGTGTTGTTCTCTTCAACTTTATTAAACGAAATACTATCGATTTGCAGGCGATTTGTGCCTCTGATCGAGTTGGAAAATCGTGTACTTTCATGCAAAATCGAACGCGAATAAACACGGCAATGCTCGAGCTTTACGTGGTTATATAGTGAATGGGATGAGCGAGGGTGAGCGTACGCGCCACTACCCGTTCGCTCCTCGATACTCGTGCCTCTGCTTCGTCCCCTTTTTCATCGCGGCTTCCTTTTCGTTTTCATTTCGCGTGTTTATTTTAGTAATTCTGGCGTTTATTAGCATCGACGTGCCATGCACCTTGATATTTCTTCGGCGTACGGCAGTCGGTAACTCGATTGTTACTTCGCAATATGATGTCGAGGAGTTTCTTCAATTTTATTAATAGAGTCATTTTTCAATTCCTTCCCCTTCTCCCTGTAATAGTTAGAAACGGCGTTAGGCAGCATGCATCACGCTTTTCGTTTCAAAAGCGCAAACGAGCCATGGTGATCCGTTTTAGGCTAGAGTTCGGTAGAACTTGCCCGGAGAACGTAATGAATGTCCCCTCTTTCTTTCTCTTTCCTCGTCTCGGTTTCTCCGTCATTTCCCCTTCCACCCGCTTACCGCCACCATGGCGCTCCGCGCGTTCGCACGGTTGCCAACTGCGGCATGTTGAAATTCGCCGGCCAGACCGTGTCACCGGCTCGTCTGCTCCCCTTCTTGCGTCCCGTTGATCATCGCACTGCAGCAGCCGCTCGCTCGCTGACCGCGCGTCTTGGTCGCGTCCGCGGTGCCACCGCTCGCTCTCTCTCGCTCGCGCACGGATCCGACTGAAGCAACGCGACTTTTGCGCGTGTGTTGAGTGGCGGCAACGCAGACAGGTGCGGCCGCCGGAGCCCCAGCGGTCGGTGGCGGTAGTTGGCAGCGCCGCGCATCGGCGATTACCTTCAGTTTCGGGCAAGATGGGCGCATCTCGCCGGGCAGTAGCTTAGTCTCTACCTACAAGACAACACACACACTAAATGTTTCCTATAGTAACAATTAACCAATTGTACATTAATCTTATTTAAGGGAAACACACGAGAGAGACATACACGTACCACACGCTCTACACGCAAGCTCTATTTTTGTAATAACGCGCCGTAAATTAAAGTAGTTGTGCTCCGCGGAGATTCAACGCGGTGTAATTTGTACGACCGTTGAAAGAGTAGAGAGAGAGAGAGAGAGAGAGAACCGTTTCGTTTCTACGTGGACACGGATAGAAAGATACGCGAGAGGAGAGAAGAGTGGAGAAGCGCTGTGCGGGAACGAGGGAGAACGAGATTATTGCGTGAAACGACAGCAAGAGGAAGAAGAATAGCGGTGGCGGCGGTGGAACATCAGTAAAGGAGCGGCCGTTTGTGCGTGTGATTCGCGAAGCGACCCTGGCGGCGGGATAACAGTAGTTGCCTGGACGTTAACGACGGCGTCGACGAGGCAGCCGCACAGGCCGGGGGACTCGCTCGATCCACGAGCGGAGCAACGGAGAACGAATCGTTCGTGGGAGAAGGCCGACACGACGGCGTACAGCCTGCCACCGTGTCCCCGACGCACAGTGTCTGTCGAGCAACGGCAACGACGTATCGGAAGCGCGAGGCGGCTGATAAGCGGCGGAGTGACTCCTCCGCTCTAGTAGACGGTGCAGTCCACGGCGGTCGCAGCGCCGTTAGTTTTTGCGTTTTGCGGCGCGTTGCGGTGCAGCGCAGCGTGCGCGCTCTATTCTCTCTCTTCTCCATTTTATTTCTTTTTTTTATTTCCTTGAAGACATTCGAGTCGGGTGTGTGCAGTGCGTGAGTGCGTGATTTTGATACGTATATAGAGTAACGAGGGGAGAAGCTTAACGACGACGACGCCGCCGCCGTTGATGACGAGGAAGAAGCACGCGCGCGCGCAAGCGGGCGAACGGCAAGAGTGAAGCGCAACACCGGCTGTCGGCGTGCCGCGGTGGAAGTTGAAAAAAAAGCAATAGCAGTTGTAAGTGGTGAAAAGTGCGCTCCGCAATCACGACACACCCTCTTGACATCCGTCGCTCGCATCGCCATCGGCTCAGCAGCGACTTTTCTATCTCTCTCTCTCTCTCTGTCACTCCCTTCTTTTCTATCTTTCTCTCTGTCTTCCCTATACCGTCCCTCCCCCACTCCCTTCTGCGCGTCATTCTATCTCGCTTCCTCCGATACTTACAGAATCGTCACTTACACGCTCTGTCTTTCTCTCTCTTTCTCTCTCTCTCTCTATTTCTCCCCTCTCTCGCATTCCTCGTTTCTAGTCGCGCACACGTTCGCTCTTTCTCCCGATGCCGCGTTCTCTCTCTTCTCTTCCATCTTTCTTTATCTGATGGCACAGTGATCTATCGTCACGTCGGATTTCGTTAGCGACGGTGAAGGCTAGGCCCATGGTTCGCGTTAAAGCCATAGGTACAGTACAGTACGGTCAGTCCCTACCCTCTCCACCCCCTCCTACGCCGCCATTGGGCCATCCCTCGTAGCTGCACGCCGAGCAGCGTCTCGCCCGGTATTCTTACACTACGTCGCCGGCCACACGCACGTACTCTTTCCTTCGTTCGTATCTCTCAGTCTTCGTTCCGTCCCGGCCCCCGTCGGCCGGTCGGGAGAGTGCAAAAATTTCGCGTTTAGTGATCGGTGCGTGCGTGCGTTCGTGCGAGCGAGTGAGCAGGCGACGACGAGCAGGCTGCTGCAGTGTGTGAATTTTCTCTGTGCAGTTATCCGATCAGTGTCGCCGGTGAACGAAGAAACTCATCGTGCGGTGGTGCGGTACGCCAAGTGACGTCGTCGGCTGAAAGGCAGACGAGACGTGCGAGGCGCCGACAAACAAGAAGAAAAGGAAGAGGAGGCTACTGTGCGGGAGGAGAAACAGGCGGAGGAAGAGGAGGAGGAGGAGGTGAAGGAACCGGAGCGGCGGCGCGAAAGCGACCGGCGACGGACGGCTGACGGTTTTTAGTCTGCGCAGCGTCACGCCGGCGTATTATTGTTATTATTGTTATCGTCGAGACTGCAGCTGTATCGTCCTCTCGACGGGTGACGCGACGGACACCGCTACTAAGAGGCCGCTAACATGTCCGTGAGAATGGAAAACGTGGCCGCGCGGAAGATCAATTACAAAATGATGGTGAGTACACGATTTGTGTGCGATACACGCATACACGTACGCTCTTTCTCGTTCTCTCTCCCTCTCGCTGTGTCTGTCTTTCTCGATCCTCTCGGAACGACCGACGACGGGTGCGCAGTGCTCGTGCGACTCACCGCTTCGCGCAGCATCGTTGTGTGCGCGCGAGCGCGTGCTAACGTGGCGTGCGACGAG